ACATGTAAATTTCTAACGGAAATAACGATGCACGTGTAGCACGTGATCGTTTGACGTTAAATTTTGCCTCATTTTCTCAAATTTGAAAATATTAAAGGTAAAAATTCATGTATTATAATATGAAGGGTAAAAACCCTCAAAATCGAAAAGTTAAGGGGTAAACGGGTACCTTTTGCCCCCTGTACTACTATTAAAATTTTATGTTTCATTATTAATTTGTCAACTTCTGGTCCCTTTGGTGTCTCCCCTCTCCCGTTTCTTCGTTTTTCTGTTATACTATTCCGACCGTCCCGTCCGCAAGTTTCCTTGGCAAGTGCATTGTAACTTTTTTGATAATATCATATTAATAATTTATTTGTTATTATTCTTTCTTTTATTATCATGTCATTTCTATTATTTCTTTTTAATTATATCTTTAAATCTTTAACTATCAAAATATATTTCTTTTCTTTTTTTTTCACAGCAATTTTTATTTTTGCTACTTTTCCACTTACCTATACTTAAACTTTTATTAATTTTTTTGAAACTCTTTCTTTTAGCTTTTTATCTCATATTTTATTATATTTATCTATCTATTCTACATTTATCATTATTTTCATTTTATATATTAATAATTTGTTTGTTGTTAATATCTCTCTCCTTATTCCTATTTCTTTAATATTATCCTTTCTTAATCATTTCTTGAATCTTTATTTATTATATATTATTTTTACCTTAATTTCTCAATCTCTCTCTTCCCAGTTATATTAGAATTGTTATGACTGTCTTGAAAGCTATAAGGCCCTTACTGTACTACTTTTACAAATTTTTGATAGTTTAGACTTCTAAAAAATAAAATATCTAAACATTTTAAAGTTCCTCATATAGACTTTTTCTTTATTCTTAGGTTCTTAGGAAGTGCTCTCACTTATTGCTTAAGTTAAAGTGGTTCATTTAGAATTTAGAATTTATTTTATACTTTTGAAATTGATTTTTTAAGTTAATATAAGCATTATAAATTTGAGACGCTTGATACGCACTGGTTACATGTATTATAATTTTTAATTATTTATAATTTTTGAAATTATAATAATCATTATTTAAAAATACATTTATATAGAATTAAAAAAGAGAAAAAAAACACTCTTAGATGACAGGGGAGGCCCATATATTTAGGAACCCTCCCCATCCTAGATTTAGTTTTGTATAATTCTATATAGTCTAAACTACGCAAAATATTTATATGGTAACAACAATAAAAATTAAAAATATTTAGGTGAATCAGGCAGTACCTTTTTCTCCGAAGTCAATCCATCCTAACTTTATTTGTTTCAGATCTTGGCACTCCAATTTGCTCCCTCCAACAAAATTTCTGGCAGAATATTTAGTAATTATTATTATTATTATTATTATTACTATTACTACAAATAAAAAACTAAACTTTATAGTCCCTCTGTCCCAGTATAGTTATCTTTTTTTTTCAATTAATCAATAATTTAGGGATAATAATTGTATTTATATATAATACTCTTTAAAAAATAAAAAATAAAGAGAGACTTTTTGTGATTGGATAAATGAATGTATAATGATGAAAAAATGATTGGTACACCTTCCGGTTCAGTCATTAAAACTTACCTTTGAAAATTTTTTCATCTGGAATTCAAATTTGAAAATATTAGTTTTTTAATAATTGAATCGGTGGGTGTTATTAGGTGTATTGAACTAGAGAATGTATCAATCATTGTCCATAATAATGAGATTAATATAAGAACAAGATATTTGTCTACCTTGATAAATAAAAAAATGATAATTAATTTGGATTTCAAATTTAAAATAAAAAAACTATACTTATTTTGGGACAAAGAGAGTGTATAGACTAAAGAAAAATTAGGCCAATAAAGTAGTCAAGCCTAGAGCATATATTTAAGAAAAAGGTTTAGATAAAATTTTTTTTTTTCATTTTTTATTAAAGAATATAAACTTTTTGGGCTTTTAAGTAAGATAGTAAACTTTCACTTTCTCTATTTGTGAATATGAACTTTGTCATATTTCAATTAAGATTACCATTTGCTACATCATCATCGTTAGCTAATGAATCTTTAAATAGAAAAAAAAAAAAAGTTCACATCTTTAAATAGAAGAAAACACAAAGTTTATATCCTTATTTTAAAAAAAAAAATTAAAAGTTTATTGTCAAATTTAAAAACCTAGAAGTTCATATTTTTAAGTGTAAAAAAAAAATTCGTATCTTTGCCTATACATTTTCACTGTATATTCTTGTTCAAATTTACTGAGTGAGGTCAAAGTTGACATAAACTAAATTCCAGCTTTTAGTCTGAGATAAAACGGCAATCGAAGTCCAAATGTGACTTTGATTTCACTAATTGAAAACTTGAGCCTTCTTATTGGATTTATTAAATTCAAATTTTGTAATAGATAAAAAGAGATATAAAATTATCTTTTATTATATAATTTTATGAGAAGTGCTAAGGACACGCGCCTACTGCACTCTCCGGCTAACACTTTCACTTTTATTGGGCCACATTATTTTGGTTGGTAAGAGTTGCTCCTCAAAGCCTGAAACAAGCTTACGTGGCCCAATGAAAGGGGAAGTGTTGGCCGGAGAGTGCACGAGGGAGTGCCCTTAGCACTGCTCATAATTTATTGTTTGACATGACAAAAAAGCAAGGCAATGAAAGATATAATAATTTTGTTGCATATCACTTTTCACTGATTTAATTACTTATTTTTCTAAATATAACTGCAACAAGCACAATTATATCTATTTAAACCTCAATTTCTTCTAAAGTGATGAACCTAATATGAGAGAATCAAATATAAAAATTGATAGTACCAATAAAATTGAAAGTTCATAATTTATTTGAAATTAAATGTTTGGGCAAAATTTGACATTTAACCTAAGAACAAACCTAATTGCCCTATCAAATCCTAGACATTTGAGTCTTCATATCTTACTCATTTCTAAACCCTTTAAAGCATGTAATATATCAAAAGAAAGCCTAGTGATCTATCCACTCAAACTAATTTCATAAAAAGAAAGCTTAGTGAGAAAGCTTAGCATGTTAAATTTTCGTATGAAATTATTGTCCAAAAAATAAAAAAATCAAATTAAAACTACTAAAAATGATCAAAGTATGATTCAAATTATACTAAATTGTACCATGTTATAAATAAAGGCTTGATTGAGAAATGATACTCTTAAATTCAGGACCCTTCTTTTCTTAGGTTTAATTTTGTACAATCTAAATTGTGCAAGATAGTACAAATATTCCCGTATATAGTAACAATACGAAACATTCCTATAGTAACAATGATAAAAAGTTAAAAACATTTAAGTGAATTATATGCAGTACCTTCTTCCATAAAATCAATCCGTCCTAGCCTTCTTAGATTCAGATCTTGCCGGTATGGTGCGCTCCCTCCAACAAAATTCCTGGCAGAATATTTAATAACAATAATTATTACAAATAGAAACTAATTTTTATATATAGAGAAAATAAAAGTCAAATATTGAAAAAATACCGAGTTAAGTTAAACCTCAAGTTATTGTTATTTTTAAACGAGTTCCAACTTCTAGTCTAGACTGCATAAAAAAGCAACGGAAAATATAATAATTTTGTTGCGTATTATCTTTTCATTAATTTGCTTAGCTAAATTTAATGATTGTTCCATTAATTGTTAATAAAATTAAATTGTGGTTATAGCCCATGCTGGTATGGTTAAAGCCACACAAACTTTGATATATATATTGTAAATGATTAGTTATGGTATTTGAAAATATTAGTATGCAAACTGATTTTAATCTATTAAATAATGAATATATATTATTTTGTCATCTATCAATTAACAATTACAATTATCAACTATTTTTAACAATTAAATCAAACAAAATCAGTATTTTAAAATACAATATTTAAAAGTTTGTGTGGTCGTCATAACATTTTGATGTCTGGCCATAATCTTGTTTGTTAATATATACATTAAGGTGATGTAGGAAGTTTTATTCGTTTTTCAGATCTAGTTTGTGCACACGAAACTCCGGTCCATATGGCACTAGAAAAATTATATTTTAACTATCAAAAATAGTAACTGAAGATTTGGAAAATAGCATTATCAATTGCCTAAGATGAAAAGAAAATTAGGAAAGTAAGGGACATGTGGTTGATTATGCATTAAAATGTAATTTTCTTGTATTATGTGATACCTATGTAGTGCTATGTAGTTATTTTAATGGAATTATGTTAGGACTAACAGAATTTCAGCAGATGGAATAGAACATTTAAGAGAAGGGATCCATTAAATATTTATTTAAGGTTTTAAATGAATATTAAATTACTCAATGAGTATTTATTTTGAATGACTAAAAAGAAACAAGCAAAAAGATGTGGAAATAAAGATTTAAAAATTCTTTATTTTATTAAAAGTCAAAAAAATCCTTATTTTTATAAAATACTTTTAGTTTAATTTGATAACTACTTATTCTAATTTGCCGGTTTCACTTTAAAATTAAGGACAACGGTACAAAGTTGGTCGGCGGTTCTTGGTGGGAATGCAATGGGCGAGTGCTCCTAGCACTGCTCTTTAAAATTAAGGATAACGTGGCAAAATTTGGGATTCTTTCCTTCTTTAAAAATTTTTTTTTATTATTATTTAATTTACTTGCATAATCTCATGGTGATGTCTTTTTCCATCAATTCACCTTAATGTGACTCAAATTCTTAATAAATGGTATTAAAATTAAAGAGGGAAATTTAATTCCCAACAGCAGATTACACAACCTAGCGCGAATGACAATATATCGCATAAAGATGTGAAGAAAAAAAAAAGACAAAATACATGAAGTAAGTTTTTGCTATATACATAAGGTTAAGACAATGGTGTTTTTTAGTATAAATTATATTTTTGTATATAATTTGCGTGCTAAAATTATTAATATATTATTAATTAATAAATATGAAGAGTATTTTCATTAAAAATATTTTAGTAATTTAAGTATTTAAACTGTAAAAAAATACATTTATATTGAAAAATACTTTTGTGTAAACTTAATGAAATAGTAATTGGATTAATATAATCAAAAGTACATAAAACATTTATATGGTAACAACAATAAAAAAATTAAAAACATTTAGTACCATACCTTCTTTCTCAAAATCGATCAATCGGTCTTAACCTTTTTGAATTTAGATTTCGGCACTGTTATTCTTTCCCTCCAAAAAAAACTCCTGGTAGAAAATTTAGTAACAAAAATAATTATTGTAGATAAAAAAACTAATTTTTTTATATAAACAAAATAAGGTCAGACCCTAAAATACAAATTTGAGCCTTGAGCATATATTCTTGTTCAAATCGATTGAGTAGGGTCAAATTCCACCTCGAGTTATATAATTTTGTTACATACTATTTTTTTCACTATTAATTTAATTAGTTAAATTTATGTTGGGTTTATTAATTATTAATAAATTATTATTTTAATATAAAAAGTTTAGTTTGTTTTCTAACAAGATTTCCTATATGTTGGTGCATAGGTAGCACAATATTATAAGCCCCATGTGCCTCTAAAAAATCACATTTTAATAACCAGAAATGGTGATAGAAAAATTGGAAAAGAGCATTACATATCAATTGTCCAAGATGAGAAGAAGATTAACATAATTTTGTTAGATATAACATTTTAATATTTTAATAGTACCAATACTCTCCATTTAAACCTCAATTTTCCTAAGTTATGTGGATGTTGGATTTATGTTAAGAAAAATAGTTTTTTAATTAAAAGTTGGGCATTACCCCAACAATAGCTCAATCATATCAATTTAAACCTCAATTTCCTCCAAATTGATGAACCTAATCTAAGAGAATTATAAAAATTAGCAGTACCAAAATGCACTGATTCATATATAACGTGATATTTTAACAAAAAGAGCAAAGAATCAAAGCTATATGTAGCCAAGTAATACTTACCAACTGGCAGAAGCAGAAGAATGAACTAAGGAAAAAAGTTTGCTGCTAGAGGATCAGGAGAGAATTAGTCATATGATATCATATAGCTAGGAAATCATGCAGGAATATATATAGAGACCAAAACACTACTATTATGTATTCTTTGCTTCTTTGGCCGGCAAAGGAAGGCATAGAAGCATATATATCTTTATTGTAAGTGATACACGCCGTTGATTTTTAGTCGTATGACTGGACAAAGTGGAAATGTAAAGAGCATAAGAAGATTATTAAGGGTTAAAATACTACTTTGTGGTACTTTTTAAAGTTCAAAGATGACTTTAGTAAAAATATAAAAATTGAGGGACTAAATTGATATTCTCATTAATGTTAATTGCAATCTGAGTCACATATAAAGGTTGCACCATATGTAACAACTGTAGCAAGTTCCATGAGTGTCATTCGGGCAAGGGCCAATTAATGCAGCTTGCGTAAGAGGTAAATCCAGCACAATTAAACGATATTAATGGGAGGTAGTAAAAATTTGATATTTTGTTTTTAAACCTATGATGAATGCTATAATTGAGGGAGAAAAAAAAAAGAGAGAGTTCTTAACATGAATATGCCTACATCTAGGTCATTAACATGGCTTGTTTGGGGAATAAGCCTATAAGAATCCTGCTCTCCTATAGCAAAGATAATGAATAACACACTTTTTAATTCAATACATTTTATAATACACTCAAATTAAAAAAATTATTACAGATTTTGGCCAGATTTTGGCCCTACAGTTTGCTCCCTCTAATAAAATTTCTGGCAGCATACAATTATTACAAATAAAAAACTAAAATTTATATACAGACAAAACAAAAGTCAGGCCTTAAATTACAGAGTACTCCATTCTAAAGTATAAATTCTTGTTTGAAGTTTTTCTTGGTTGAATTCCAGCTTCTAGTCTAGATAGAAGGCAATGAAAGTCCAAATGGAACTTTTTAGTAATTAAGAACTTAACTTTCATATTAAAAATTTCAAGTTTTAATCTTGCAAAAGCCAAGAAATGATTTAAAAAATAAAAGTTATTTTTTATTATATAATTCATTGCTTGACATATAAAAAAATGAAAATTATAATAATTTTGTTGCATGTTACTTTTTTAATAATTTTAATTACCTATTTTTCTAAACACAACTCTAAAAAGCACAATCATATGTATTTAAACCTAAATTTCTTCTAAAAAGATGAACCCAACGTAAGAAGATCATATATTAAAATTGACAGTACCAATTAAAATGACTTGACCCAAGTATAAGGAGATTATTTTAACAAAAAGAGCAAAGAATCAGAGCTATATATATGTAGCATCAAAGAAAACTCATCAATGGGCAGAAGCAGAAGAGTGAATTAAGAAAACAATGCTTGCAGCGATGATATCGCAGAGGAATGCACGCAGGATATAAAGAGAGACTATAATACTATTATGTGTTCTTTGCTTCTTTTGTCGGCAAAGAAAGGCATAAAAGCATATATATCTTTATTGTGGGCGCTACATTTGCAGTTGTAGATGCTTTGTGCTTTGGCTGGACAAAGTGGAAGTGTAAAGAGCAGGAGAAGAATATTAAACGCAATGCGAGTCGCATAAAAGGTTGCACAATTTGAGATTATTGGAGGAAGTAAAGAGTCCCTCTAATTAATAGTGCTTTCCTCGACAACAGTGCAAGGAAACCATTAACTGTAGTATCTATGAAAGTGTAGGAGTAGCCCTTTTATTTTATAAACAAAATTGGCGCTTCGAAAATTAAAAAAAAATCCCTCAAGATGTGCACTTTGTCATTTTACTTGAATTATAAGTAAGATGAGCATTGTTGATAAAAAAAAAAATAATTTATGCATTAATGTTACAGTGTGTAAAAATTGTTCTAAAGATACTCTCATTGTTGATAAAAAAAAAAAAGGTAGGATATGCATTAACTGTAGGCCATATCTGTACCAATATCAGAGCTTGTAAAAAAGTTGGCCTTAGATTCCAATGCATGCTGCAAATGCATGAACTAACTCCTATCACTGATTTTATAATATGATTATACATAACAACACCTCAAAAAAATAATTGTAGATAATAATTAATTTATTTTAATTTGTACCCTCCATTGGGTGTAATTGTGTAAATATTCCAATAAACTGAATAAAGGGTGGTTTCTTTTTTTTCTTTTTTGTTTTTTTTTAAATCAACTCATAGATGCAAAATTCTGTCACAAAAATGAGATTGAAAAAAGTTAGACATGATATTATTTTTGAAAAACAAAATGCAATTGAAGCTAGATTTGGCGACAAATTAACAATAACAACAACAGAACATTAATTGAACCTTTTCTTTTTTAGCAATGATAAAACATTTTCTTGGATGAACCTAAGAGATCCTACACCTGTTGGTTGTCTCATCAGGTCCTTCCGACATATCATTTGTCCAAAACGTGCATGCTGCGGTTCATACCACCAACATGACACCAACTTTTCCTATCTTTCCCACCGTCAACTAATATTTGCCCTCAATTTCTGTTTCCAATCTCCATTCCTCACTATTTCCCTTGTCTAATCACTAAATTCATTAAATTTTTTTGAAAACTGTATTAGATTCTTAAAAAGTTGTGAAGATAAAAATTGTAAAATCTAATCTCAAGCAAATTAAAGGTGGAACTATACATTATAAAGTCTTGGTTTTTATTTCACCATTCCACAGATGGAAAATTTTTGAATTGAATGAAATATTAACTTTAAATTTCAAAAAATCTCACGAAAAATAATGATTACTTGTAATGTAAAATTCATTTTGTTTTATAATGACATTCAAACTTGTATGATATTGAGTTTCACCAATATCTCACTAATATAATATTATCTCTTAGGTGATAAAAATTCGTTTACAGTATTATATTTTTTCCATCAATCAATCATCATTTAAGTTGCATATATACTTCTACATTTTTAATGAAGCCATTCATGAGTTAAAAGTGAGAAAGCAATCTCATTTTACTCGCATCGTTTGGCTGTTTGATTGCACGTACATGCTTCCAACATTTTAAAGCAAGTGGTCATGTGTTTAAAATGGTAGCTTTCATCAACCAAAGTAGCGAGTTACAGTCTTTCAGGTATTACAAAGTGATTTAATTAATTAGGACTCGGGTTGGACGCACGGTATCGTAACCGCACATGTTAATTGACTGATGCAGTTTGAAACCATACCAAAGACTATCGGTTTTTGGTAATCTGTTGCCGACCGCATTTTACCAAGATTGCTGGGAGAAGGATTGATTACAATAAAAACAAAGTAAATAGGTCCCTGAACTACAGAAATTGCAGTAAATTAGCCCTTTGAGCTTTCTTTGTCGATGCTTTAATGCATTAATGTAATAATTAAGTGAAACTAACAATTAAATTGAAAGTATTTATTTTCTTTTAATTATCAATAGATGTACGTGACAGTCATTTCTCTCTTTTGTCATCCACAACAGTTAAAATTAACAAAAATTATCCATAGTTATTAATGAAGGGCTAATTTGCCTTAATTGCATGGTTTAAGTGCCTATTCGCTTGATTTTTAATTTAGGGGCGTAATTGCTAAAATGGGGAAAGTTTGAGGTCTTAAATAATGGTTTTGCCAAAAAAAAAAAAAAAAAAA